AGTGCTAGTTACGGCCATCCACTTATCACTTTCTTTCAAAATTTTTGATACAGTACTTCGATCGATTGATAAATTTGGGTGATTTTCATTAAAGTAACTAGCAATCTCATGATGCTTTTTATTTTTATTGTTTTCTGACCACTCACAAATTTGGTGTTTAAGGTCATCACTAATAGCCGTACGATGTTGTTTTTGTTGATTAGACATGTTGAAAGATAAGAAATTTTGGCAATAAAAAGAGATAACTTTATATATTTATTGTATACTAAAAGTTTTAGAGTACAATATTATAATTTCATATCATTATTATAATAAAAATTTGCGATCTTATGATACTAGTATAGCCATATATTGCAAAACATGTAATTATAGTAATAGTTTCTATTTGTTTCAGCCACTTATAAAATTTTAAAATAATTTATACAATTGTGCTTGCGCTAACTTATTATTGCTCGATCAATAAAAAAGAAACTTATAAGAATAGGTTTGCTAGCTTTATCTTCTAATAACAATAATAGAAAGATAATTACCATCTGCACGAATATAAAATTTTAAAACCTTCTTTTCCTAACTGGTCAAAAACATTCATATGCATCTATAAACTGACCTCTAAAACTTGCATCTAACAAGATATTCTACTAAACCATAAAAAAAAACATAACAAATTAGTGTTATATATCAAAAATCAAGTTTCATAATGCAATTATAGTCTTATTTCGTTTACTTTTTTACAAAATGCTTCAAGATCAATTATAGTAGCTCTACACTTTTAATTATAGAATATTTTGCGAAACCTTAGTCGCATATATTATCAGATATGCATGCATTTTATTAAAGGTAAATGTGAATTGTAAAAGCAAAAGACTATCTTATTTAATTTCTTTGTCTTTTATTTCCTTTTAATAAACTATCTTATACTTTATTTATATTATGCTATACTTTCTTACTTTCTATTAGTCGTTCAATTAATCGCACCATCATATTATACTAATATCGATTAGCCATATTAGTGCACCAATCTCAACTTGATCATCTACATTTTCTCTAATGATATGAAAAGGCTTATAGTTCTATTTGTTTTATTTTATTTTTATTACATTCAATTATTACTATTTTTGTAATCCTGTCTTTCTCTTTTAGTATGTTTCAACGTAAAATACATATATTTGGTTAGTTTTGGTGCTATATTCACCGAAGTTCAAATTAGAAGGTAAAAGCAAGTCATTATCCTATTCAGAAGTCATAAAAGTTTGACTTATTTGACTTATTTGATTTATCGAACTTCATGAATTTATTGAACTTATCAAACTGTGAATTTAGTAAATTAAGTAGATTAAGTGAATAAATTTGTTCTGTAAGTAATAGTAATATACAAGCTATAAAAAGGATGACTTTTATACCGTAATAAAGATAACTCTTGGAGTTCAAACTTTGAAGTGTTTAGTAGAAGTTTTAGTCTCTAAAAAGTTTTTATACTGTCGAAATAATTGTTTCTTATACTATAATTCGTATTAGACCTGTTAACATCGTTCGTCATTATCATATTCTCTTGCCCGTGATTTTTGTACATTGTAATTTCGTGTTTAGTAAGAAAGAGAGAAAGAGTATTGATTAGTAATCAAAGGCCTTATATATTAAAAAACGTTAATTGATTAAATCAGTGATCCATCCATTACCTCATACATACGGTATTTGATTTAGCGATTTCAGCATCCCTCAGTGCTGAAATAAATCACGTGTCTCGTTACTTACTCTGATTGCTAGATTTGATTTTGAGACCCCACTGCAGTACCTACGAAAAGAGAGAAGAGTTAAAGTTTTAGCGAAAGTGTTGTAGAGAGCTTAAAAAGAAAATAATAAAACACTTATCTGGGTACAACACTATTGCTAAAAAGCAGTTACTCGACCAAGTTTTTCTACGCCTTAATCAAAACCACTATTAGGGTTGGGTTATTTTAGTTATAGTGTTCAAGTTTGAGTAGTATAGCTTATATTAGTATAGTTTTGTGTGAGCTGGTATTATTTATACATGGTCACTATTTTGACGCAGCTCATACTTTCTCAATGACTATTCCAATACTGTCATACATATCACGTGGAACATTTCCTTACATACCCTTATGATTGCGATATTATCCTTTAAATAAGTTTTCAAATATGGCGCTCTTTTTTTGTGAAAAAATTTTCTCGAAATCAAAGTAAAAGCTATAATAAAATTTAAAGCAAAGTCAAAGCAAAAGTTAAAATAAAATCAAAGCAAAGCTAAAGTGAAAGTCAAAGCAAAGCTAAAGTGAAAGTCAAAGCAAAGCTAAAGCGAAAGTCAAAGCAATAGTTTAAATAAAGGTCAAAGCAAATGTTTAAGTGAAGGTAAAGTAAAAGTTTAAGTGAAAGTCAAAGCAAAAGTTTAAACGAAAGTCAAAGCAAAAGTTTAAGCAAAAGTTAATATAAATTAATATATGCTAGTTTTATGTAGAAGTATATTTCTAATACAAAAATTATATATTATTGTATAGC